AAAAAAAAAAAAAAAAGGTAGAAAATGTTTGACTTGAAACTAGATTTCTATTTTTGTGGTGAAATAACGCTCATTTACTGAGTGCTAATAGAAAATTGAGTGGAAGGAAAAAAACATGATAAAAACTTCTTAAGGTTGTGAAGGAAACCACAATCCCAGAGTGCTGCATCCAAACATTTCAATGGAAAATTGAGTGGAAAGAGAAAAGCTCGATAAAGTTGTGGAGAAAAGTTTGTTTACAAAGAGTAAATTTCTAGAAAATTTCTGACTAGAAACTAGGAAATTTCTATTTTTCTTCAAATTTCTGAGATTAATCTAAAAATTTGAGGGGTTTTTTTCTAGCAGTGTTTTGACTTTATCCTGAAATATCCTTGTTTTTTTAAATGAACATTTCTGAAATTAATATAAAAACTGACATTTTTTCCCAGAAATGTAAAAAATTTTAAACTCAAATTTTCATGTTTTTCTAGAAAATTTCTGAGATTAATCTCAAAATTTTGTGGAAAATTTCTAAAAAAAAAAAGCATTAAAACAGGATCCAATATTTTCTACAATAAGAAGATATTAATTTGTCATCATTTTCCCCCTAATTAAAAATAAAAAGCCTTTATTGCATCATTATTGAATTGCAGTCGGAGGCCGTGAAAAAATAACCTGGGGGCCGCAAACGGCCCACGCGCCACACTTTAGACACTCCTGATCTACTCTCAAATTTTCTGAGAAACTGAAATGTGGGTTTTCATTAGCCGTTAGCCATAATCATCAAAATAAACAAACATAAACACCTGATTTGTATAATTTAATTGTTTATTTTTGGTCTGGAGTGACTGAAAGAAAGTTTTACCTTCCAAGTATTTCCAGTAGTTCAGCTATACCGTTATGGTGCTCAGTTTCATAGATAAACCTGTAAAAACAACGGCTAATGTTAGCCATGCTAACCCAAACCAATGATCTGGATGCTAGCAGTTTAACATGCGAGTGTGTTGGAGTGAGCAGCAACAGGAAACCGACCTATAGAAAATGTTATTGATCTGTTTTCTGATGTACGCCCGCAGCCCCAGAAACTTCCCATAGATCCTGTGGAGAGTGGTTTTCAGGAAGTCTCTCTCTCTGGGATCCTCGCTGTCAAATAGTTCCAAGAGCTGCAAAGTGGGACAGAAAACACATTTTTATTGGATTTGACTCGCTGTGCCTTCTGTGTTTTATGTTAGAGAAATGTTGGGCTTTACCTGCATAACAAATTTCTGATCAATGTATTTCTTCGCTATGTTGGGCTGGAAGTCGGGAGATTCTAAAAACCTAAGAAAAAATTCATAGACGAGCTGCAAAAAAAAGAGAAAAGAGAAATCCATTTAAAAGCTGGAAAAAAAACAAAAAATCTTACCAAGTCGGATCTATAGCAAACATGTTACTTCACCTGAAATAAGACAAAACTAACTTTTCTATCTGCTCACATACTGAAAGAAAACTAAATATTTGTATATGTAAACATATCTTTTTGAAATCAGCAACTTCCCAATAACCATATTTCTATCAGCAATATCCCCATGTCAGGAATTTCCCAATATATGTCTAATTTTACCAATAATTTCCCTACATATTTATATTTATTCTTTTAATCAGCAATGTCCACATATTATATATCTATATATATATATATATCTATGTATATATATCTATATCTATATATATATATATATATAAGCATATATATATTTTATTAATTTATTCAAGTATTTCTTTTTTACAATTTTACCATATTTACATTTATCTGTAATTTCCCCGTATGCACATATACATTTTTTTTCTTATTTCAAGTGAACTGAGATATTTGCACTAGAAAACCTTGGTAAGGTTTTGTGTTTTTGCAGCATAAATTTGCATAACAACCCGCAGATTGCAGAACATTTAGGTTAAATTCGATCTGGACCTGCAGGTGGGGCCACGCCGCCTCGAGCGTCGGCTCGTCCTCCTCGGGATCAAACTCCGCTCCGGTTGGGTTGGACGACGGCGGCAACGTTCTGAACATATTCACAGCAAACTGAAAGAAGCAGCAGAAAACGGGAAGCAAACTCCCATCAGACGTTTTCATCATTTACCTGCAGCTGTTCTGAGAAAACAAAGACATGGCCTGATTTTTCACCCTCTCTCTCCAGTTTTCTTTTTTTAAGGTTAAACTTAACCGTGTTCCTACAACCACCCTGGAAGGTTTTGCCCCTCCATAATTTAACAGTCTTGTGTTTCTAGTCTTTGTCCGTGTCAACTGACTCCCCTGTGAGCCGCTGCACAGATCACAGGACATCGCAGGTGGCCTACTAAAACACTAGGAGCCTTGTTAGAGAAGATAAACTACAAAGGTAGGCTGGAGTGCGCCCAGTAGGCCCAGTAGGCCCTGTGACGATACCTCTGGATGCTAAAATCACAACCAGCATGGCTCAGTTGGACAGGAAAAACAAAATTAACTGAGAAAAGTTTGGATGATTGGGGGAAATCTTAGGAAACACCATTTCAGATTTCTTCTTTTAATCTGAATTAAGAGTTTCAGATTAAAATAATTTTTAGACCAAAGAAACCAAAGTACAGTTGATCGCAACGTATCCAAACATTTGCTACCAAAATCTTACCAAGTAGTTTGATTTAGTTTCTAGTGCAAATACAGCAAGTTACAGGAGCCGTTTTAAGTCAATATTTCCTCAATATTGATGGAAAAGTACTTGTTCCATCAGCAGATTATTTCATTTATAACATGGGAAAAATGTCTCATTTTAAGTGAAATAAGCTGCCAATGGGACGAGGACTCTTCTTCAAGTTCAAGGAATAATTGACTTAAAACAAGCTCCAATATCTTGCCAGAATTAGAAAGTTAGTAGAAATAAAATAAAACTAAGATATTTGACATGAAATGAAACCAAAATTACTTGGTAAGAGTTTCTGTTTTTGCACGAATAATTCAGGGAAAATCTATTCACACATTTTTTTGCAGTGCGTATCTGAAGCTACGTTCACAGCAGGCGAATGCGACGCAAATGCGCTTTTTTCTCCGGCTAAATGCGACTTTTTCCTCAGTCTGAACGAACAAATTCCAACCAAATTCACCCAAAAATGATCCAATTTGTGCTCATTTTTGGCTGCTTGGCTTTATTTTTAATTGTTTATGATGTTTTATTTTGGATATTTTAAATATGTTCCAGTTCCAGTGTGGAGTGTTTGGTACTAAATTAAAGTTTATTGGTCTTTGACTGATATGCCATTGCGAATATTGTTGCCTCCCTAAAATAATGGTCCAGGTTTTTTGCAAAAAAACAAAAAACAAAAACAATATCACCATCTTCAGCTCTGAATAAAACATAAACTAAACTATCAGAGGCCTGTTGATGTTGACACTCAACATAACTAGGTGGCAAAATTAACAGCAACTAGAATGGTTGCCGTTAGACGCAGCCTTATGTTATAAGTTGCCATAATTAATAAAATGAACTTTAGAAAGTAAAGCTAACATCCCATTGTGCAAGAAATTCCCCAAATCTATAAAAGTTGTGTAACTGGTTGGATTCTTTTTTCTGCCATTTCTCCCTGACCTACTGACCATGTGCACCACCTCCGGGTAGATGGGCTCGGTGATGACGTTCCTGTTGTGGGTGATGTACTCGACCATCTCGCTCAGGGCCGCCCGCTTCACCTCCTTCCATTTCAGGTCACTGAGCGGGTCAGAGAGGAAGTCGAAGAGGACGCAGCACTGCCGCAGCTTCTGGATGAACAGCTTCTCCTGTTCTGCTGGAGCCACATCTGCAGGAAAACAGGAAGAGGAGAGCAATCAGGAAAAACCAGAAAATAAACCCTCTGCAGCAGAGAAAACGACGCAGTTATAACAGGATTGTCTGAAGTAGGTATTAAATAGTCGGAGTCTCAGGACTGAACCCTGTGGTACTCCACATGTGATTCCTGCCCGTTCTGATGAGAAGCTAAAAGACATTTGCAGGTAAATATTATTTTTAGGAATCAACGATTGACGATTATCAGATTTTTTTAAAATTGAGCACATTCTATTAGAAAAAACAAACATTTTATTGCCTAAATTGTAACACTATAGCATTCTTTAGTGAATTTGAACCAGGTCAAGCTAAAACTTCACCACTTGAGGAGCTTGGGATAAGACATATTTACAGACATATTTAAACATCTTACATGCAAAATACATTTATATTTTTTCAGGTTGGCTTAATTACTGTTTTGAATTAAGTTTTTTTCAGTAAATGGCTATTCTTAATGTATATACTCCAGTTAATGATCAATCGATTACTAAAATAGTTGATGATTAATCGTTCAACGAACGATTAATCATGATTAATCAATTAATTGTTTCAGCCCTACTTCAGTTCCTTCACACAAAGAAATCCCTGTTTTTTTCGGTAAGATTCAAACCAATTAAGTGAAAGTATGAAAGAAAAACAACGTGACAATAAAACGTTGAAGACTTAAACAACAATTGGCAGCATAACGAGACAGCTGACAGCCGGAGAAAGAAAAATTGTGGGTTTTCTTTCTAGGACTCTGATCTGACCGTCTTTATTTCGTGGGCCTCTGAACCCAACAGCAGGAGGAAACTTCTACATTTCTATCTGGCTGCTCGTGTGATGCAGTAATAATACCGTTACACTGTTATTATCCAGCAATGTGACAACTTCTTCACTCCACCTCTCGTAACAGGTTGGTCCGTTTCATAGGTTTCTGTCAGCTGAAACAGACTTAATAAAACCAAATAATGACTCTGAAGACGACTGAAAAGTTCATTTATCTCAGTGCAACATGAGCATCTGTGGACAGAAACGCCTTGTTGATATCAGATTAGGGGCGAATGGACAGTCCGTTTTCAGATAACAGAAAAGCAACAGTGGCTCAAATATTCACTTGTTACAACCGAAGTATGCAGAATTTTCTTCCTGAAAACAAAAACAAGAGGAACCCAACAAAACTGGACGACATCAACATCTAAGAGCAGGAAGCATGCAGTTAAAAGTTCACATAATGTTTCCTGGTTCAACGTTCAATTATGATCGAAATTCAGTTTGATTCTCATCTCCCTTCACTGATCCATCTGGGGTTTCTCCCATTGAACTCGATTTCTCCGGTAGAGTTTCAACCAGGGCAATCAGCAAGCAGAAAGACGTCGTCAATGATAACTTCAATTTTTAAAGCCGTTTTGAGAATTGTATTCTGTGTAGTTTTAGCAATGGCAACGAACACAGTGAACAACGTTCATTACATTTTCTGAACAAAATCATTTATAGAGAGACATTTAGCTGCTTTAGGGCGTCTCGTCACTAAAACCAAATAATCTGCTGTTGGCCACGCCCCCAACTCAACGTTTACACTCGCCCCTCGAAAATGGCTGCAAACAGACATGCAATTATACAACCATGCATCTTTGAAAAGCAGAAGTAGAGCCTCCTGCATAAACAACAAGAATGCAGCAAGTGGCTTCTGGATGGTAAGTCAACAACAAAACACTTGTCTTTTCAAGCAGCCATTGTACCAAACATGTCCAGACTTTTGCATCCACTCAACTGCAGATTACCAAAATATTGCATTAATATGCAGCAGAAAAATCCAACAATTGTGCCCTTTTTTAGAGCTCTGCAACATCTGGTAGCGGCTGAAAGGAAACAACAGGCAGCCGAACGCATTCACTCCTCGTTATGAGGACATGTACAGTCATAGCCTCTAAAGAAAGGAAGGAAGAAAATGCACACAGACTTGGTGTGCAGCATTCCTACAACCTGGCAGGTTCTAGGTAAGCAGAGCCATGATGGGGATTTGGCTCCGACACAAACACACACTTCTGCAGCGTCAGTCTAAGGTCGGCCAGTTTATCCTGATAACAGCGCGAGAATGCCACAGCTTTGGAGCTGCCCTGTGTGTAAAAAGGTCCAACGTCCGTCATATTTATCTTTATTAGCTGCGTTTCCATCACAAATACACACAAAACTTTGTCAACATTCAGCTGATGTCAGAAAATTGACCTTTATCACTTTTTAACAGGAAAAAAACAAACATTTTTTGGTATTTTTTCCACTGTAGCAGAATACATTTAACCATACTACATGTGCTTTAATTTTTACAACATGACCTTTATCAATTTAAATTAAATAGAATCCCACAGTCATGCATTTAGTGTCACACAGTGGTGCTAAATCTACGTAGGGTGAGTGCACACAACATTTTTACTGCATTCGGGATTTAAAAGGGCAGATATTTACGACAAACGGAGGAGAACATCCCAAAATCCAGGGAGGGCAAAGCTGTTGTAACCTTAGGTATAAAACTACAGGTGGGCTATTGGTGCTAACACAGTAAAGACATGACTCGATGAGTAGGCCTGTCGCAATTCACAAAAACTCAATTAACCACATAATAAATTAAAACGAGCAATAATTACCATGATTTTTCTTTTTTTTTTCCCTCTTTCTAGCTGGATGATAAAAGTCTTCAGTTTTTGCTCTGTAGTTTGTTATTTAATGTAAAGGGGCAGAAGCTGCTGGGCTGAAGTTAACCACCAACTTGATTTTCTCTGTTAGAATAAATTCAGTGAACCTGCTGGACCTGAGATGAACAAAAACAGTTACATCAGCTAAAAAGCTTTCAGTTTGGGGTCAGACCTGCGACGTCCCATAATGCACAGGGACATACGGCGTAACGCTTCGCTCCTCTGGCGCTGTCAGGACTTAAGTTGCCTCTGTTACATAAGCCCTTCTCCTTGCGTTATACACTTTCTGTACGCTCTGAAAATACCCGCCGGCTTGTTGTGCAACAGATAAAGAGCCAGTGTTCTGATCCCAAAATTGATGTTTGCCACAATGTGACTTCTATTAACGTAATTCATGCGAGCCTCAGGTGGGAAACAGTCATGCAGAGGCTCTTTGTGTCTGCGCTCACACACCAGGCAGGACAGAGGGAGATTTATGTGAATCGTTTCTGTTCAAAACAGGAAGATAATGAAGAAGTGGAGTCACACTGGGACCAGTCTGCGGTTCGGTCCACAGAGCTGGGACTGCTTTTTACACAGAACCATTTGTGATCAATGCCAACATTGACAAACTGCTATTTATAGCCACGTAGAGAAACGCGTCACAGATTTCAAAGCCTGTGTGACCAATTTGGCTGCATCCTTAAAAACAAACACTAAAAGTTCAAATTAAAAAAAATTCACAAATTGGAAGTAAACCTTTTCAAATTATTAATTTACAATTCGACAATTCATGAAACAACTAAATTAGGGATACACCAAATGTAGTTTTCTGGCTAATCGCTGATTATCGGTCTTCATTGGATCCGATTTTAGCCAACACCAATTTTTCTTTTGGCTGAAATGTTGCTAATTATAGTCGGATTATTTGTTTTAAACACACTGGATCCGCGCACAGCTCAACTGCAGAAAGAGTCGGCCTTTAAACAAGTCACAATCAGCAATATCAGCAATAGATCAATTAATCAAATAATGAATTAAAACAAATTCAGTTTCCATTTTGCATCATTTATTTTCCCTTTTCTACCAAAAACTAAATAACAAAGTCAGTTTGTTGCTTTGGTCTCCAATAGCCTTTTATTTGAAAGACAATTTTGTTTACAGGAACTTCATAATTAATTTTATTTAATTTTTTTATTTGGGATAGTTAAAATGTATTCCAGTTCCAGTGTTAAATATGAATTAAATTTAAACTTTATTATCATTTATCACAATAACTTCTGGGACAATTTATTGTCTGTAAAAGAATGCACAAAAACTTTTAAAAATATTATACTTCATATTTTTCTCATTCCAAACACAAATTGTTCTTATTTTCTTGAAATAAGAAAAACTAGTGAGTAAAAATGTAATATGCTACATAAGACCAAAACAGTGAACTTTAGAGCAACCGAAAACACTCAGTTTGTTTTCTACCTGCAACATGAATTTGTGCTAAACTCCTAGAAAACGTGCAAACTCCTTTAAATCAGAGCAGAAAACTTTCAATAAAAGCATCGCACCAATTTCTCTGATCACTGATAAGTGACAAACATCAAATAAAAAATTTAATTTGATACTTTGATGTGTTTCCTACAAAGCATTTGAGACCGTTGTGTATAAATGAGCATTTGGAACAAATCTCCAGTTTAGATGATTGGATCTCAAGACATTAAATTAAAAAAACAATAATATTCTGACTGCTTTCAGCCAATTTCAAACAATTAAACAGTTACTTAAGGGACTATTCCAGGGAAAGAACTAAAATGGATTTAACAAACTCTTTGTAGAGAAGAAACATGTTATAATTCAGGTTACATATTGATCCGTTCGTAACCCGACTCTATAAGGGTTGAGTTGCACCAAGCTGACTTTTCCTGATCAATACTGATTTTCTGCCTTTCTCTGACATCTGACCTCCAGACAGAGTCAAGTTTTCCTCTGATAAAAAACAAACTATAAAACAAAAGTTAGGCGATAATCTATAATGTTGTTTTGAGACCATTTTCGACTGATATGGCATAACAATGTAATAACAGTCACAAAGGTGAATAAACTTTAATTTCTAAAACATTTAACACTGGAAACTGAAAACATTTTAAATATGCAGAATAAATAATCAATGAATTATGAAGTTTCTGTGAACAAATTTTTCCTTCAAAAAAAGCACCAAAGCACCAGACTGAAGGCTTCTAGCATCCAGCTTTTGGTAGAGAACAGTGATAAATCATACAACTGGAAATTAATGAACTTGTTTTAATTTATCAAGCAATTAATTGATATAACTTGATATAACTCTTCCCATGCAAAGTAATACATTTTCAGCCTTTTCCGTTGTCACCCACTTAGACGTGGAGAAGATCGTAAAAAGCATGAAAACTTCCACCTGCGTGCTAGACCCTCTCCCCACAGCATTACTTAAGTCTAATATTACAGCTATTTGCCCATTAATCACAACCATTATTAATCAGTCTTTGCGGGCTGGTCAGGTTCCCCCATCTCTTAAAACTGCAGTCATCCACCCTTATCTGAAAAAACCCTCACTTGACCCCAATATTCTTGCCCATTACAGACCTGTTTCAAATTTACCGTTTATAACTATATTTATATTTTAGCATTTTAACCATCTATAAAAGCCAAACCGGGCATTTTAACCATCTATAACAGCCAAACCCGGCATTTTAACCATCTATAGCAGCCAAACCCGGCATTTTAACCATCTATAGCAGCCAAACCCGGCATTTTAACCATCTATAAAAGCCAAACCCGGCATTTTAACCGGGTTTAGTTGTTAGTTGTTATATAGATGGTTAAAATGCAAAATGATAATATTGTTTCAAGACCAGTT